CTTCTCACAGAAGTCACTCTTGTAGTTCCCCCCACTACCGAAATTTTACCATGCAAACCCAATACTTAAGACACAGCATGTTGTATCTTAGGCAGACTTTTTATTCCAATTATCCAGCTACAAACAAACATTCACTGCCTTCCAGACTGCACCGCCATTCATAAAAAGACTGTGTTGTTGGTTTGGGTTATTTGGGGGGGGAAGGAGGGGGAAAAGAGGGAAGCAGGAGGATATTGTTAATAACTAGCAGTTTCTCATATTTAGAAAAAAAGTCTACCAGCAAGCTGTATTTTACAGTCACTTACTCTTCTCTTATTTAGAAGTTTACTATTTTACTGCTGTGTAAAAGCCACACAGTAACAAAAGCCTTCTGTTGTATGCTCAAAACTAAAGCAATTCTACTACTTGTTACAGTATCCTTAAAAGTAGTTGTAATAATACTCTTATATAAAATGCCCTTTAAGGAAAATTATGGATACATATTTTAAAAAATATTAATCTCAAAATTTCTTTAAGAATTATTTTGAGAGATATCTTCAAAGAGGACACATAGTATATTAGTCCTGATTTATTTGGTGGCCAGTATTTCAAGCTGAAGAAAAAAAGAAAACAGTGTTTTCTTCTAAAATTAAGTTTAGTTCACCTCTATTGTGACCGTATTTATCAATGTGCATTCTAGTTTACAGATACAAGTGTAATAACCATAGCAAAACTGTTTCTAAGCACAGGCACAGAGATCCCATTTCCCTGGAGAGAGCCTCTTGAACCAGAGCTGTGAGAGCTCTGATCACAAACCTATCCGCATATCGAAAGCCTACATTCCCATTTCCTCCTTCTTTGCCTCCTTCTGTTTGGGCAAAAGGCAAATAATACTACACCTATGGTTATTTTGTACTACATAAATGCTGGGAGTGGGGTGTTAAACTATGGCTATATCAACAACTCTTATGAACAACTCTACAATAACAAACTTGTAGATGCATGTGATGAAAGATTTTTTTTTTAAAAAAAAGGAACTTTGAGAACTACAACTGTTGTTATATTAAAGATTTTTTAAAACATAAACTCAAGCATTCAGACCATGAATCATCTGTGCAGCAGATGCAGAAACAGCTCAAGTCTGACAGGATTACTAGCAGGAACCTACCACTATGAGAACACAAGTACCTGAACTGGCTTTGGAGGTAAACAGTATAGCTGCATTTCTACAGCTCTGAATCCTTGAGTATTAAGTACTGTACGATCTAAACTGACTGCAATGAGAGTCTTTCTGTCTCCACAGCGAGTTCCAAGAAACACATGTGCAAGTGCAGAGACTCCAGTTATGCTAGATTCAGCTGAGATCCAGATGAGTACTATCTCAAACCTTCAGTGGCTAGCTCCACAGAGTCCCCTCAACACATTCCCCAGGACTAAAATCCAGGTGTCTTATTACACAGCTGTAATGTCACACAAAGGTGCCAACTCAGTTCTGGGTCAGTACTGCATTCAAATGAATAAGCCACCCCATCAATAAAACTAATACAGAAATGCCAAGTGGAAAACACCCCACCTTTACAATGTTAGAGTAATTTAGACCAACTCCAAACCAATTCTTCCAGGTGCAATGACATGGCTTATAATACACTTATTCCAGTGAAACATATCAACAGCATATTAATTCACTTGCAACGTTGTAAACGATCTGACTTCCATGTACAAGCTGAGCTGTGCTTTAGGTAGTAGAACTTCCTTGAATTCCTAACACAAGTTCAGTACTGAGATCTCCTGATCTCTCTGAATCAAGTTGGAGTCACAAGGACCCACATCTACATGTAGCTAGTAAGCCCGACCAAGCTGTTTGTGCAAATGCTGGATGCCTCTCTGCTGCCTGATATCTCTATCACATGGATTATTCCAGGTCCTCCATGATAAGCATGAATAGGAGTAGCTTGTAGTAAACCATAAATACATTATCTATTTATACCCCACTGTATACTAGAATTAAATCATTCTTAAAATAACATCATCAAGAAAGATGCTTGGCACATAATAGGATGATGGGAAAAGAAAGTCTTTTTGACCAATTCCTAAACTTAGCTTCCCTAATCTCTCTTTGAATACCAGTACTATCAGCCCCCGGACAACATACAGGCACCAGCCAATTTCCCAAGCCATGACCTAAACCCCCTTACATACCACTCCATATGTATACATCCCCACGCAATACCTAATATTACTTTTTCCTACATCAACGTGTATCTGCTCTGCTTTTTGATTCAGAAGTTCAGGTACACTGGAAGACATCAAAAGGGCCCACTATGCAAGGTAATAACAGCCGGTGCTGACACAGGCAAAGCTGGAAGCAGTTGCCACATGATTACCAGACACCTCAGTATGTCCATTATCCAAACAGTTCAAGTTTACAAAAATTGCTGCTTCTCTCACACACACAAAAACATGACCCTTCTAGAGCCAAGACTCAGTATGACTTGTCAGGCACGCAACTGTGCTTTTTAACTAGTAGTTGACCATTCAAAACCCAAGACACTGGCTACCACCTCACTATCAATAATACAGAAGTCAACCAGCCAGGAAGCTTGTTTTGCTTAAAAAAAAAATAAATCAGGCAGTGCTTTCACTGACAAGCACTACACACCATCTTAGAGGCAACACACAACAGACATGGAACACAGTAGACATCAGTGTATAACAGCTGAAAGTATATGGGAAGCCAACTGCTCTAACCTGCTGTTAAATTCTCTAGTGACCCACCTACTTGAGGTACATGTTCCTGAGTTAGTCTGTTTCTTTAAATTGTTAAAGCAAGACTAACTTCAGTGTAAGCAATTAATCCTAGTCTCTTATCAGAAAAAAAAAAAAAAACACACCACACCCAAAAAATACACAACGCAGACAGCATCAGCAGGGAAAAAAAATGTCGAGTGCAAGACCAGGTCTTTTTAAAGATTAAAAATAAGTAGAAGCATGTCCATTGTAATATGGTTAATTTAATTCTGGTTTTCTTTCTAGACAAAAAGGCCAACAGAAAAACGGAGCTTCAGTCTCCTACAGGGATAAGGAGGTTTGCTTTTGCAAGTAAGTGTGTTAAAACTTCTGCATCTAATAAACCAGTTACAACAAAGTTCCAGTTTTCATACTGAAGTCAGAGCTTCAGTTTTGTTTCTGAATGTTAAAGGCTCCTCTAAGACACCTTGGAGACAGCCACCATGCTTCTAAACTCACTAACATAAAAGTAGTTTTTAAAATTTCAACTGTTACCAATCTGTTCTCTCATGCAATTAGTTTCACTTGAGAACCACTTAAACCTATGCTACATTGCAAATAGGAAAGTTCACGTTCTTTTCAAATCAAGATCACTAATGAACTTACTGAACTGTGCCATAAACAGACCCCGTCAGGTAGAAACAAGAACAGAATATATCAAGCAGAGAATCCATAAAAGTCCATCACTATTCCTTCTTAACTTCAAATAGCAAAGAAAAGCAGTATAAAGCCTACCAAAGATATTCTGTTTGATAAACTCAAGAACTTAACAGAATGAAGTGAGACATTGTTTGTTTTAGAACTCTACAGGTCTCCTTCATTCCTTGTGTCAGGAGAAGCCAGGAATAAATATATCCTAAATCCTGATGAGAATTCCCCATCACGCACCAGAATAATCCTCCTTCTAGTCACCATCACTCTTTTCTCCCCTCTGTATTTTTAACTTTGCTGTCAACCTGTATATATCAAACTCAGCAATGTGAAGAAATGCTACTCTTAAAACTTTACATCGCTGATGGTCTTCCCAGGAAAAGAAAGAAACAGCCTTTCTTTAGAAAGGGTGACGGTTTTGATTTTCTGTTGACAAATATTCAGAGAGCACATAGAAATCAATCTGTTCTTGCTCCCAACAACAGGTCTTCTCTGGAAGTAGTAACAAAGTCTAGGTTGCTAGGGCATTATGAAAACATCAGTGGCAAGTTGGGAAAAAGTAGAGGAACAAGATTCCTCAGTTCTGTGCCAAAAATTCACAGAACATTAAACCATCCTACCATTTCTATAGAACTTTATATTAGAAAATTAATTAGGTATAGCAAACTCTCTGCCAGTCACTGACAGCAACTTAAAACTTGGGCTCAGGCTCTTCATCTATCTTTATATCTGAAAGTTAGGAAGAGTTTACATACTGCCCTAAAGATGCTGCACCACCTTCTCTTCCAATTTTTATATGCAAAATCTTTTCAGAGGTAAAGGAACAGCTTAGTCTTTCTAAATACTCTCACTTTATCTTTTGCTGGAAGACAAACTAAAAAAGTGCCAAGCAGTGAGAGACATGATTCTCTTTTTCTAAAAATGCCTGATACCATGCAGCTTGATCTAATAGCATACAAGTCTGGCCAAAAAAACCCTCATGTAATCAAGTGTAAAAAACAAAACAAAAAAAAGGCATTGGGGTTTTTTGTTGTTCAGAAGTATTATCTGATTCCTCAACATTGACCATAAAAAATTAAAAAGACAGGGAAAGAAAATGTTTCTTCAGCTAGAAGGATCACATTCCAAGTAAGCATTAGATTCCAAAATTAAGAACACTACTTATTGGTTAAGTGTTCCAAGACTGAAGCTTTCAACTGGCAATCTAAAGTTGCTGTAAAAGAAAATTGGACACAGATTTTATTTCTTCCCTGTACCTAACTATGTAAGTGTTAAACTGTCAGAATTACACAAAACCCACACCACAGGTATGAGAAAAATAACCCACTGAAACAGCTGAAGAAAAAAAAATTAAAAAGAACCACTACAAAAAATGCAAACACACACCACAGAAATTGTCAAAATACTCAGAGATAGTTACATATTTCCATTTTAAAAATAAAAAAGAAAACGTCTTTTTCAATAGCATCTAGATGGAATTATGACAGAAAGCTAAGCTATTTTCTACTATTACTGAGATACTTTAACAAATATTATCCACACAAGCATTATAACTAGCGTTACTTAATAAACAAAGCACATACCACTCTGGCTGCTCTTTCCTGAGATTCACACTTCCTGCAAAACCAAGGTCCAGTGGGTACTTGAACAATTCCATAGCAAGCTGTTTTGAACAAGACAAAAATATTTCAGCAAACAATAAACAGCACTACAGTACTACTAATATGAATGTTATAAAAAAAAAGCTTACTATCACATCATTTTACTAAGTCAAACTGAGATCTATACACTGCACTTGAAATCGTATCATAATGGTAATACAAATGAAGTATAAGCTTCCACTTAAAAATTTATGCAAAATTTGTTAAATAAATTTGTTAAATAAAAATAAAATTCTGATTAACTTGAGAAGTAATATAGCCATTCAATAGCAGCAATGTTTCATATGTGATCTGTTTTGCTACTTATTTACCAGTAAAACAGATAAAACACTTCACAGTAACAAATATCCATCATTTATAGTAGTCTTTAAGAGAAAACTAAAAGCAACTAGCAAATTGGAGTTTGTCATAACACATTCATACATTTGGTTACTAACAAGTTCTCTTACTCTTCATAGTCAAATAACTGGTTATAAGTAGGAAATCCCTAATAAACTGAAAATAGAAAGTTTCCTTTTTATATATTTTCCCCAAAAAATTCATAAGGAGCTATAAATACAAACTAAACTGATCATCAGGGCTAGGATTAGTTGCAAGTATAGCCAGGCTACAACATAAATTCTTAGATTTTGAGACATGCAGACTTCTCTGCAAGACTGTCATCTCTATTTTTATAGCAGATTTAAAAAAAAAAAAAAAAGTTTGATAAGAAATTCCACAGAAAAAGAGTTTAGTAATTTAGCAAAACTGTTCATGTTTGAAATGCACAGACCAGGAAACTTTAGGAACTACTGAGGGAATGAAAATACAAGAACACAAGTGCTATGAGCATATTCTACTATGTGTATTAATTTAACAACTAATAATAAGCAATCAAAAATCCAAACATTTTCCTCAAAAATATAATCCTGAATCTGACATATTTTAATATCTCAATTTTCAACTATATTACTTAAATAATAAAATCTGATTTAAGTGTGTAACTAGAAATATATATATATATATGATGAAATTAAGAAGAAATCTGAGATTAAAATAGTATCTTCCAGTATATATATATATAAAAAAAAAACAGTATTGGTCTTGTGCTAGCCTGAAAACAACCAAAACAAACAACAAACAGTAATGCAACAGTAGTATAAAAAACATCTGGTTAATACACCGTTCCTTCTACAAAGGAAAGTCAATGAAATAATTTCCTGTTATATACATACATGTAGTCATATTTTCAAATGCATTATCCACATACCAAACTACCTTGATAAGCCCTTTCTACTGAACAATAAAGTTCCTGAACATGAGAAAAAACATCTTGTTTTTGTTGCATTTATATTAACCACAGATGAGGGGGACTTCGAACTCCTCTTCAGAAATTAAGAGAGAAATTTTACATGTGCAATCACACATTTAGATTAGTAAGAGATATTGCAGAGTAAGAAACTAATTAGAGAATGCAACTCAGAGACAGGGATGGCAATTAAATCCAAAGGCAACACGAGTTGGGCAAAGACCAAAATTGAAGGGAAGTACTTCTCTATCTGAAAATGTAGCAGAGTACACCTAGAGCCTAAGGGAGTCCACCACAGGTTTGTGCTCAAGCAAACTGTGATACTGTTTATTGAGTTCCTGGACTTCCTTTGGTTTATACTTCCACTGCTATGCAAAGCTTCTTTAAACACATGAAGACTGTCCTCCGCAACTTGCCAGTGACTTAACGCTTGAAAAGAAGTTTTGTCTGAACTAAAAATAAGTATAATAAAAAAATGCAGTTAATAAAGTCTCATGGGTAATACTGTTGTCTGAACTTCAAATAAGGACTACCAACTTTAACTATGAGGACTACCACTTTTACTACGGAAAGACTACAAAAAGAGTGGACATACTTCCTCTACCACCTTCAATGACCACATGACGCATCAAATCCAAAATGTAAAACATCAATGATACAGTAAATCAAAACATACAGTTTTTCTTTTCTTAAAACCTCCACAACAGCATCTGGATTTAGAAAAAACAGTACTTTTGCACACTTTCTGCCAGACTGAAATCCAAATTTGGACCTGACCATTAAAAAAAAAAAGTTCAATATTCTTGTACCCAATTTACTGAAGTGTCTCTGTACCAGGAATTCCTAAAACAGACTTTTTTTTTGTCAGTCCCACTATTTCAGCTCCAACTACTGCTATCATCAAATTCTTTCACTGAAAATATTAGCAAGACTCTAGATGCAAAGGAAGATGCCCAAGATAATACAAAAATAACAGCTGGTCAGGAATGACTTTTGAAAGTATTAATGGTTTAGTGTTCTTTTTCACAATCCTAAGTTTCCACAAAAGCAGTTAACGTTACTCAGTTCTTAAGGCAACAGAAAACCGATTCAAAACCAGAATTATTTCACAGATCCTGTCAGCTCACCTCAGCCTTCAATTCAACATTAAAAAGATCTGCAAAATAATTCAGTTATTCTTAAATTACTACTTCTCATTACTTCTTGTCAGTTTACAAAAGAGCATGCATATGAAACGAAGGTACTAGATCATCTTCAACACAACTGAAGACCAAGCATGAGACACATTAGTAGTATTTTCACATGCACTAGGATTCAAACTAATGAACTGCACTGAGGATTTTCTGTCTGCTCCAGTTTCTTCACCATCTAGGAGGAGTCTGAGCCAGCCACAGAGTTCGTATGACTGCTTAAGAGTTGATACTGAGAAACTATCATCTTATTCCTTGTTACTGCTACCATAAAGCAAAAGTGATCATAACTTCCTTTCTTAACTACGTAAGCAGCAGAATACAGTCCCTTCCTCTGCTCTCACAAGAAGGGTCAACCCACTGACAGAAACAAAACAATCACAAATAGAGGGAACATGCCAGCTCCCGAGCTGAGCTGGAAACCAACCAACCAGCCTCCACTAATCCAAACAAATCCAGTATCAGCCATTCCGACTAACACCCTCCCCCTGCAGAACCACAACAGGAAGTATCTTCATCTACCAGGAAACATCAGCCAAATGACATTCAAGGAAAGGCAGGCAGAGGAAGAAATCACATGAAAGTCTTTCCTACACACTGCTCTCTTGCAATCCTCAACCCGTCTCATCTACCGACTGCCCCTCAAATAAATTTTTCTAACTTGGGAAAGGCAGGGACAACAGGAACCGAGTATAAGAAGAAAGAAAAACAGCAAAAATTGCCAGAACAGAGATTAGTAACAAGTTCCACAAAGAAGGAAAGGAGTTTTAGGTAGTCTTAGGACTCCTGTAGCCGAGGTTGTTAACAGGGTGCAAAGGCAGATTGGGATGCACAGACATAGAAAAAATACAAAGGGTAAGAAGAAGAAAAAAAAAAAACAAAACAAAAACCAACTGGCAGGGGGGTTCTTCCTTTCTCGTAGCCATAATATAGGAAGCCATAATATAGGAAGTCTCACTTGAGGTAAAAGACAGACTGGAAGGATAGAAGATGACAGGACAAGTCAGACCAGAAAGCACGTGGCCCTAGAAACAGGTAAATAGGCTTCATGGGTGACAAGAAGGAGCCTGGGCAGGGGGAGGGAGAGAAGAAGGGGAGAAAAACGGCCAAGGGGAGTCGCGGGGGGGGGAAGCAGGCCCAAGGGGAGAGGACAGGCTGCATCACGAAGGAAGCAGCAAGGCTTGAGGCCGGAGTGGGTGAGCTGGCACTCGCCTGCCTACTCACCTTGATGCACTGCGACATTGCAGCCGTGCCCGTCGCAGTAGACAAGCGGGTTCTCGGCCCAGCCCCTCTCGTCGGAGCACACGCAGCAGCCGCCGATCATCTCCTTCATGCTATTGGAGAACTCGCCCTCCAGTGACACAGGCAGCAGCAACGGCTCGCTAGAGACCATCTAAGGGTTAAAAACACCGTCGTCAACACCACACACGCACGCACACACACGCTTTACCCCCTGCCTGCCCCCTCCCCCGGCGGTGTCTCCCCTCAGTCACTCAGCCGCCGCCGCCGCCACCGCCGCCACGGCAATGATTTAGGGCCCATGACCGCCGGCTGAGAGCCTCTTCTCGCCCCCGCCCGACCAACCGGCCAGGCTGTATCAGTCACGCGAGCAGGCAGGGGCGGCCCGGCGGCGGCACACTGAGGAGGACACCACACAGCAGGCAGACAGGCAAGAGAGC